GCAATAGATAAACGTAATCCAAGTGATAGTGTTCAAATCAGAACTGATTTGATTGTTCACTTGTAACAGATACCAGGAGCCAAAGAACTCTTTCACTCTCTCTTTAAATGGGAGAACTTAAGAAACGACAAAAATGCTTTGATTTTAATGTGCAGTTTTTATTACCTTGATGAGAACCTCAATCCCTTGCTGACTCTCAGAGAGAAGTCAAATTTTCCAGTGAAATTCACTAATTTATGAAAGTATATCTACATTTGGCAACTGGAATTTTTTTTTAACTCTTCAGTGCTTTGCCCCATGGAATTAAAACAGCTAAGATGTTTGAGAGAACCTACAATTTGTAGACTGATGGAAATGACACAGCTAACTTATATAATAGAGAATAAAATGAAATCAGATTGAATGAATATGAGGAAAGATCTCTTTCTAAATTCTACACCATGAACAAACCGATTGTTGCTCTTTGAGAAGAGAAAGACATGATGGATCAAAATTTTGTCTTTTGTCTGAGTTTATGCTCCCAGGAGCCCAAATATATCTTATTTAAGTGAAAAGTAGAAAGAGTTTCATTTATTTGATCAACAAGCATTTATTGAATGCTTACTATGTGTTAAGCCATGTGCTAGAGAATAGGGTGAATAAGATACGGCATCAAATAACTCATCATATACAGGGAAAAGAATTAACAGATAATCTAAATCTATTAAGCATAATCATATTCCACAAAGAAGAAAATGCAAAGTATCAAGGGACATGGAAAGTGAAGTAAGTACCTCATGTCATAACTGGGTAAGGAGGGAGGACTAGAGACAAAATGGAGCACATACAAAGAAAGGTATTTTTGTAAATCTATAACCACGTTCAAAAGGAATAAAGTATATCTCCAGGTACCAACAATAGAGAACAGAAAGCGAACAAAGTAAGCAGAAACTGATGTCCGCCTGACCTCTTTGGGACGTAGACTCAGATAGAAGCCTATGAGGCTGAGGGCCTGGACTATAAATGCTTACGGGAAGACAGATGTCATTTGTTCCTAGCCCTGCAAGGAGGGAACTGGTACTAATAACTATACTTAAAACCTGGAATCTTGCAAGACTAAGCTTTCTATTAAAAAGGAATCAAGAAAATTTTTGCTTATTGTCCCAGATGATTAAATGACTCACTAGTTGTAAATCATTTAGAACAGTACATAGTGTGTATTAAGTACTTTATAAGTACTGGTTAAATTTTTAAAAATACATACCTTATGTATGTATACAGCATATACACATAGACTCCTCATCCAGCAGTGCTGGCAGCTTCCTGTACCTGGAATGCTTTTCCTACATGTAGCCACATGATGTACTCACCCACTTCTCACATAACATCTCATCAGAGGGAACTTCTCTGACCACCAGTGTTGCCACTTCCTCCCCTCTTGTTCTGCGCTTTTCTCCCTTTGCATGTTCAGCACGTGAGATACTATGTATTTATTTATTGGTCCATTGTCCAGACTCCAACAATAATTGGTTGCTGCTCCAACATTACACTTATATCCTGCCGTGCATTTGTTTTAATGCTACAAAATAGATTGCAAGATGCTTGCAGTCATGAATCATAATTTATTATGTGTTATCGTCTGTGAATTCTCATGTAGCGCTCTGCAAACAATGGGTGGCCCGCCAAAATTTGTGGAGATATTCAGCAAGCCATTGGAGACATAGGCTTTAAGTGGGGAAGGAGTGTGAAGTCAGATACGGCTCTTTTGGAATCATTTGAAGTACTCAATTATCCAAATAATTCAGACCCAGAAAATAGCTTTTAATTGACAAAGTACTTACTAAAAGGAGATTAGCCACCTCATTGGTCTCCATTAATCTTAGTCTTATGATCAATCCCTGAAGTCTTCCTCTGAAGACAGAACGATTTTGATGACTGTGGAATATAAGTCAGGTAGCAGTTCAGAGTTTCAGAACCAATTGCCAGAGGGCAATATTATATCAGGAATTGGAAAAGGAAGGGGAAGGAGAGCAACTGGGATTTTCTTGAGTAAATACAATATAGAGTAATTCAACTGTGAAGAGCCCATATGAGACCCCCAGTGCATCTACATTTGGGGAGAAATGGAACTTTAAAGATGTGCTTTCATGTGGGAAAAGTCCTTTTTATTACAAATATACTCCCAGTAAGTGGCAGTTTTCATACCAAAATGGTGTCGCATTCATAGCACATCACCTGTCTCATGTGACAAAAGCATGGAATGTGCAAGCCATTTCTGAGTGCTTTAAATTCTTTGGAGACTGTGCAGATTATATTATATGGTATTTACGGAAGTAAGTGCTGCTTTAGTCAGTTGGTAAAAACACTTCCAGTGTTATGCTCCCCCATTTTCACAAACACAATACTCCTGAGATGAGTTGTCAGGGGCTGATGTCAGCTCACAAGTGGTGTTTGTTGCTTTTGTTTTAATTTTATTTCTCACCCACCGATAGTGTGATTTAAAATTATTTTGATACATGTCAATTATAAAAATTATTTTTGTTTCATTTTTATTTCAAGATAACTTTTTTTTTAATTTGAGCAAATAATAAACAGGCTTAAAGTTCAGACTTCATGAATGCCCCCATTCCTTGGAAAATTGCTGTCATACTCAGGAAATAAAAATTTGCAACAAATCTGATATATGCTTTTTCATTACACTTGTGTGTGTATGTATATGTGTATATGTGTGTATGTGTGTGATCCAGGCAATAAGAAACATTCCCTGGAGAGCAAATTTTTTTTTCTATTTTCTTGGGGTTTTTTCTTTGTTTAAACTATCCTTCAGTGTTATTCACTTAATATGACTCTTCCATCCTCTCCAAGCTTATTTACTAGTTATTCTCAGCATGTGCTCTCTTTGCTGGACCCACTGGCCTCCTTATTTTTTCCTTTGTGTATTCTCACATATGCCTGTACGTTTCCACTCTGGCCTCATTTCTCATGCCATGCCCCCATCTCCTCCTCCTCTGCCTGTCTGAATCCTGTTCTTTCTTCAGTTCATACCTCAAGTCCTCCATTATCAGATTTCTGCTTTGACCCACAATGTTCTATCTATCCTCTAAGCTTACAGTAACTAAACAGTTGTGAGTTTAAAAGGTAGATTAAGGAAGGGACACCTGCAAAAGAGAAAGAAATGAGGTACAGTTGATTCTGGTTATTCACTGTAGTTATAGTCTGTCAGGTCACCACTGACATTGAATTAGAGAATACTGAGCTTTGCTCCTAGGGAAAGTATAAGGTTAGGTTCCTGCGAGCCTCTGGTCATAATACTTTTATCAGTTGATAAGTGCATATTGTTTCATGTGTGTTTCTATTCAAAGACACCTTATTTAATATATTGTTAATTTATTAGTATTGAATTCATCGCCAACAGCATGGTATCCCTGAAAGACCACATTTTTTTCGTAAGGCATATCACAGTTTTCTTGCTCTTAGACATTAGATAGCACTTTAGCAATATGCTTTAGGGCCATTTTAAACAGGGAAAAGAAAGCCGAGCATTGTCCTAGTATGACCTCAGCTGGGAACCTATATGTCAGGCACCTCAAGTTTTTCACCACTCTGTGCATGTCCATGAATGACTGAGAGAGGACCACAAATATGATTTGGGAGTTACAAATAAATTTTAGCAACCTGGGCAAATCATCTTCCAATGATGAGGAACTACTGTAGTCAGATATGTTCTAAGAAGCCATGGTGAATTTATCAGTTCTTAGATCATAGAAAAGGAAGAAGACCATGTGCAGTGGCGTGAAGAGGAAGTGTTCAGTGCAGTGAAGTGGCCAGAGTGTTTAAGGAATAAGTCTAGCAAGTTTGAAGGGGAGGAACTAGAAAACAGAAGGTTTCCTAAAGGTTTAAAAAAAAAAAAAAGCCTACCCTTTTCCCCAACCAGATCAATGATGCAGAGATTAAACTAATTCCAATATAAGTATATTCTACCTAATTTGAGAAAGCAGCCAGAAGAAAGTGGGCACTTTGACGATTAAGAAATGTACCTGCTTGATAGCTCTATGTGCAATGTTGGCAATCAACTTTTGTTTAAAAAAAAATTTAGCCTCCTATGGAGCAAGCAGCCCAGGAAGGGTAATTCCATCGGTGACTAATAAGTTGACTGTAAAAGAACATAATGATATTTGACGCATTTTTCCTTTTTGTAAATTTTGAACCTCTCACCCCACTTGACACATTAGTAGACTCAGTGGAGGAAGGTGGTATTGAAATGAGTATTATTCTTTAGGGTTCACGAAGTAATGTTTACCCAAACTTAATTATAACTGTAAATGTTTCTAACATTTAAAAGTACAAATAAAAAATTAAAAAAAGAAAAAAGCTGTGTCTTTTAAAACTCTGTATAAAGCTAAAAAAAACTTCCTTTAAATTGAAAAATGATATATCCTTAATCTGTTCTTTTAAGGGACCACTAAACACGCCCTTCTACATATAAACAATCTAAATAAAATGAAAGGAACAAAATTCTTGAATTTGCAAAATGGCTGTTGAATCAACAACCAGAGAGAATTTGCTACAAGAGATGACAGATGTTTTCAATTTTTTTTTTCTCACATAATCTCTAAACTCATATTTTATGTGGGGAAAATCACAGTTTGTAAGAAAGACCTCTGTGAAACAATTTATAGGGTATTATTGATATTTTCAACCATTTCTGTTACATTGTTGGAATAAAACACTGAGTAGCCAGAATAAAAGGGGATATTAAAGCAACTGGAAGAAATTCACTATGTAAACATAGTTTGCCAATTCAGGTCAATATCAGGTAAAATGTTGACCCCTGAAGCCCTCAGTATAATAAATATGTCAGTGAGTAGTAAGAATGGTGCACGTGGAGTTCCATTTTGAGCATGACTAAGTTCCTTCCAGACAGTCACCTCAGTGCTCCCTCTCCTAGGTGAGAACGATAAACTCTGGGCAAACTGAAACTCAACTCACTGAAAGAACCGAAAAGTGAACAAGCGTACAGCTTTGGAAGGAAGTCAAAGCTCGGAAGAAGAGAACTGCATGGGGTGAGTTCCCTATTTGTTTTCAGCTTTCAGCCTTGAAGTTGGGTGTGGTTACCACCATGTAGGGCAGCTAAAGCTCCAATATAAAACTCGCAGTAGGGTGTACAGGAAGGAAGGGAGAGGTGGGGAGGGAGCGGGGGAGCATCAAGAGCTTCGAGAAGCCCAGCTAACTGACTGATACATTTGATGTAGCTTCTGTATGAGGCCAACAGAATTCTCTTCCATGGCCGCCTCGTAGCTGCTAAAAGATGACTCTCCCACTGAAATATTTCATCCCCTTATTCCATCAAAAAGTAGAATTCAAACTCCAACCTCATCATAGGCTCACACATCCTTAGGAGCTGCACATCCTGTAGGAGATCACCTTTCTCAGTTTTCTTTGGGGCACCTGCCAAAGGAAAGTGAGTTTTCTCAATTTTGGAGGGGGCCACCAAAAAATGACTTTGAAAAATTGAAAAAAGGCCACAGAGAAGGCCCACAGCCACAAAGCATCTGGTTGGGATGATTTGTTGCCCCAGTGGACAGATTTCAGATGTTCAGTTTGAACTGCACACAAGCCCAGGACTCCCATTCTGTGACCTTCGCTGCATGTTACTGTCTCCTGAGCAAGCGCTCTCACAAGACTGATCCTTAGGTTTTTGGATGTGTGAGAATTTTGCATCAATGATGAACCTTGTTGGCGGTAGTCTGGTTGAAAGCTGCTCTTCATCTATTTGCTTGTCCAATGGGGAGAGGGTAGCAAAGAGGGGTTAGAAATGTTGTTTTGTTTTATTTCAGAGTAAGAAGAGGTGTTACCTTGCTGAGAGGGTGACAAATTCAGTTATAGTCAACCAGTACTTGACAGGTTTTATCAGAAAACCAAACAAGGAAAGAGTATGTATGCCTGCTACCGGCTGTCACAGTATTGAACAATGAATGTTTGATGAAGCGACCTGCAAATACATCTCTGTGGAAGTCGGCTTTAAGTAGCAACTAGCTGACAAAATTAACAAGAAAGGGCCTCAGTGGAGGATATCAAAAGAAAAGAAAAAAAAAAAGGGAAACCGAAAATCTCCCAGTTCCTTTATTTGTTTAGGTGGTGTATTGAAATAGCCGCCACACGAGGTAGAATTTGAAATGCAGTTGCAGTTCTGTTAAGATAAATACACGGTCTTCATCTCAGCCCATATTGAAAGTACAGTTTGGATAATTGTCGGATTTTCCAAATTAGTTGTGCTATGAGAACGGAAGCTGGTCTGCTGGAAATGTGAGGGTTTGGTTGTGCTTCTAAAGCAGCTCCTGTCCTCTTGCTGACAGGCCAGGGGACGGGGAAGTGGCCAGCGTGGCACAGGAGATGGAACCTGTCCCCATGCCCTGCGTTACACAGGCCAGCCACAGATTTGGTTATCCTGTTCAGAAGCATTTTTTTTCCTGAAGACTGAAAAGGAACTAAAAAATCTCCTTGAGCCAATGCAAAGATCTGTAGCTAAAGATTCCTTTTCTTACTCTAAGGCTCTTTTCCTCTGAAGTCAAAATCAGTGGCATTTTCTGCCTTCAAGGGAAAATGCCATGATTCTATTAAGCTATATCGTTAACCCAGTTTCTCTCAGCACTTTATTTTTTTTCTTTTTATTTTTTTTAAAGATTTTACTTATTTATTTGAGAGAGAGAGAATGAGAGACAGAGAGCACGAGAGGGAAGAGGGTCAGAGGGAGAAGCAGACTCCCTGCTGAGCAGGGAGCCCGATGCGGGACTCGATCCAGGGACTCCAGGATCATGACCTGAGCCGAAGGCAGTCGCTTAACCAACTGAGCCACCCAGGCACCCTCTCAGCACTTTAAATTAGAGAAGAATAAAGCATTTTTAAAATGATACTTCAGGGACGCCTAGGTGGCTCAGTCGGTTAAGCGTCTGACTCTTGATCTCGGCTCAGGTCTCCATCTGAGGGTTGTGAGTTCAAGTCCCACACTGGGCTTCGTGCAAGGCGGGGAAACTACTTTAAAAAAAAGTGTTTATCTGATCTTATTTAGCCTTCATTCCTCTGCAACCCTAGCCAATTCTAGGCACCACTCAGGGCAGGTCTCAGTGAGTGGAGATAGAATTGCCTGTAAACCCAGAAACAGGTAAGAGACTCAGCTATACAGCCTGTGGCCATCCCAGACAGAGCCCTCCTACAGCCCCTACATTCTTACTGTGATGCTATTCCCTTAGCTCTTGTTTGGCAGAGCAGAGGAATAAATCCACTAACTATGGAAGAAAGACATAAAAGTTACATCCCACACTTTCCACTCAGCCAACCAAAATAAGTAGAAAACTCAGGAAGGAAATTCCACATCCATATCCCCAGATCGAGGTGTTAATAAAATGTAATATATCATAATTAAACTATCTTTCAACCCAATAATGAATTTTCACATGTGCATCCTCCTTGTGAACTTTCATTCTGTTCATACATTTTTGAGCTTATCTCATGATAGCATCTCGTATTTTTTGGCAAATAGAGTGGTGTTATAAATATAAAGTATGTGTTCTGTCAATCTGAAAAAGCCACAGATATTATCTATTGGGGTTCCTCACTTCTTATCTCTGCCTCTCCAAATTTTTCCAATCCATATTGTGTTAAAGAATTTTGAAGATTTAAAAAAAAAATCTGTTCATTATTTATCTATTTCCAGAGTGGTGAATAAGCTTTAATCTTGGCAATAAAGATACAGAGATGAAAAACGTCTATGATGGATTCAGTAAGTAAGAAATATCTGTAAAACTAAGTGACCCTTCATGCTGCATAGATGTGGGTCTTCATATGCACCTGCAGGGCATTCGTTGGCTGTAGTTTGATAATTTGCTATTAAAAATATGAAGGAGGGAGTGACTGGAGAAAATGAACACATGGATATAAACAAAGGTAGGGCACAAAATTCCACAGAGAGAATGGTTACAAAAACATACTTTATGGAGACCGTTGTGGGGGGTGGGCGCGGAAACAGAGGTGAGGGTTAACTTTACAATTGCTGGTGTGTAGAAAGGCAACTGCCAGTCAATCTCTTACTTCTCCTTGAGTATAGGAGAAAAGACCTGCTAAGAAACCTGACCTCTATCTTTAGCATAATGACTGAGGCACAACTTAGATATCCTTAGGGCCAGTATCAGGAGCAAAACTAGGGGACAGTTCAGGCGGCTCACCACAATCCCAGACCTCCATGAAGTAGAGGAGGAAGAAGACGAGAAGGAAGAATCAGGGGAAGGAGGAATAATATTAGTAGCTATGCAGAAAAACCACAATAAGTAGTCAAATACAGTTATACTGATTGTGGGTATGTGTGTCCCTTAACCTAGAGTTTCAGAAGCCACTGTGAAAATGGGGAAGAACTAAATTTTAATACTGATCTTCTTCTCCCTCTGTTACATCAGCTTCCGTAGCTGTATTACTAATTCACACCACATGCCTGTGAGCTGGATATGTTGTGCGCACGATGTAGCAACCTCGCTTACAAATATTCTCTCCGAACCAGAGATTCAGTTACATATACGGTCCATTCCTGCCCCCAGAGCTTTGTACTCAATGAGGAGTATCTGGGCTCTTCTTAATATTATCAGTGTAGTTAGACCATATGATCCCGCAATCCCAGTTCTGGGTATACATTCGATGGAAGTGAAAACAGGGTAGCAAAGAGATATGTGCACTCCCGTGTTCATCGCAGCATTATTCACAATAGCTACGATATGGAAACAACCTAAATGTTTGCCAGTGGATGAATGTATTTGAAAAATGTGGGAGATTATATGCCTATTTATCTCTCTACATATATGTACATATACCCATACATACATACGATGGAATATTATTCAGCTATAGAGAAAAAAAAAAAAAAGGAAATCCTGCCCGTTTGTGACAACATGGGTAGCTCTTGAGGGCATTATGCTAAGTAAAATAGACCAGACAGAGAAAAACAAATACCGGATGGCATCCCTTATAGGTGGAATCTAATAAAAGTCAAACTCATAGAAACAGCAAGTAGAAAAGCGGTTGACAGGGGCTAGGAGGGGTGGGAGAAATAGGGAGAGGCTGATAAAAGTACAAACTTTCAGCTACAAGGTGAATAAGGTCAGAGGATCTAATGTAAAACACAGTGACTATAGTTGATAACACTATATTACCTAATTGAACTTGGCTGAGACAATAGAACTTAAATGTTCTCACACACACACACACACACACAAAGAATAATTATGTGAAGTGTTGAGTGTGTTAATTAACTAGACAAGGGGAACCCTCTCACAACATACTCATATATCTATTCATCACAATGTACACCTTAAAAGTCTTATCATTTTATTTGTTAATTATACCTCAATAAAGCGGAAAAAAACATCAGTGTAGTCAAAACGCATCTGAAACTCGGAAGGGAAACTGAGATACAGAAGGATAAGGTGAGTTTCTCAAAGTTCAATAGCGAATCAGTGGCTGAAGAAACAGATTCATTTTTCTGCCAGGCATTGGCATTCATTTTAAAGAATTTGTTGATTCCATGCATAAGGTATGCAAGTAGTATTTAATCAATGTATGTATATGCATATATATTTTTTCTACTTTTCTTCTTGAGCACCGGAAAGAAACTCATTGGGGAAATATGACTGATTCTGTAATTCACTGGCTGAGAAATCATTTAGGTGGACTTATTGCTGGTGTTCTGAGTGTGTTTATTCATAAAAATTTGTATGTAGATGCTATTTATAGCACATATAGACTTCATGCGATTTTGATAGAAAATATAACCTAAAGAAAGAGCTCACTGTTATCTGATTATTAATAAAACACCCAAAGATGGCTGCTATAAAACTTATTTGAATGGAACAGACTAAATCTGCAGAGAAGCCCAAGGAACTGGTTTGAAGGATTCATAGATGTTAGTTGCTATTATCGCCCACATGTTAAAAGTAGCCTCCTCAGTACTAGGATTTAAAAGGTACCAGGAAAAACCACTATCCCTAAATGCCACCTTCAAATGCCACCTCACCTGAAATTCTGCCACAAGAAATCCATCTTGTAAGACTAAAAGAAAATAATCAGTACCTCTTACTGATTGGTGAGAGTATGTGTGACTGTTTTCTTCGTTATATACTTTTCTTAATTTTTTCGGATCCCCTATGTTAGTTACCCTGTGATACAAAGGTATTTTAGAAAAATGGTTCTCTTGAGCAATTACACCAATAACTCTGTAGTCCCAAGGATCTCTGGCACAGTGATAAACATATCGTTGGCACATAGTAAATATGTGTGCTGGACAAAAATACCTGTTTCTTTTGTTTGGGGCATTATCTCCAGGAGTTGTTGGATCAAATTTCCATAAGGCACTGACACATTTTTAGCAGTTCTCAGACTTCCTTAAACATCTGAGTCGTCTTGTTCTCAAATCTGACCGTCATGATGTTTGCATTTTATAGGTGAGTGAGGGTCTGCAGGGGCTCCCAAGAGGAAGAGGGGTGCAGGGGAAATCTGCAAAGACGACTCTGCTGCTAACAGAATGTTGTCCACATTGTAAAAATAGCCAGAAGAGAGAAGAAGAGTGGTTCTCAAGCCACATTCCACTGAGCCGTGGGTTCCATGTTGTTGTATCCGGGAATGTTGGAAAGGTGAAGGGACAGGCATTTCTGGTGGGTAGCGTCTAGGCCCCTCAGCTCAACTTCAACTAGAGCAGTTCAGTGTTGATCCATTAAATATATTGACATCTCACATACTATCCCGCTTGAAGAAAGGATTCTTCTGCTGACAGAAAAATAAAGGAGGGATGGAAGGACTGAAGAAAGAAAGAGAGAGAGAGAGAGAGAGAGAGAAAACTTCATTGGTTTCTAGTCCTGACCCAGGAGGAAATTTCCATTTCTAAATGCAAATCATTTGAAAGGCTAAAGAAGGGAGAGGGCTGCCTACTTTGTGAGCTGATAACAGAAAACCTCTGCTCCATTATGCAAGTCTAGAGAAAAGAATGGTTTATAAACATTGGTTTTTCAGTCCATCAGGGCGCCAGGACCCTGCGTTGCCAAGAGACATCTCCAGTGCTGAAATGAAATAAGAAGACCATGTTTACATTAACATTCCCATTTGATTCACTGTTTGATTAAGACAGAAGAGAGGGAAGAATCAAACTGCCCAGCGTCCTGATTGGAGAGGACATAACACGAAGAGAAGCTGTATACACAGTCCCCATCAGAGGCAAAGAGTAAAGCAAGCGTTTTGTGCTCCAAATCCCCATTCCTCACTCTGCTCCCCACCCCGCAGCTCCAATGCCCCCTGTGATCCCCCCATTATAACTGATAGTTCAGAAAGGAACTGATAAACCTGCTCAGCCAGTGCAAAGGTGTCTGGGAAAGACACAGGGCACTGAAAACAGGATAGGTTTTGGCGTCTGCCAGACATGGGGTTGGGAAAAAAAGTAATTTATTTTCACAGGAAAATGAACAAAAAGGTCTCAGTTGCCATGGAGGCTTCCACCTATTAGCTCCATCTGCCATATATTTAATGACTTTTATGGAGAGAGGACGAAAGTAAGAGTGCCATAGCTAAATGCCTCAAAGGACACAAGGAGAGAGTTTTTACATGCCTGCTCTGTCCCTATCCTTTTGAGAAAAAAGGTCAGAAGAGGTATGTGCAAACAGAAGTATTGTGTATCCATGATTTAAGGCAGATGTTCTCACCAGGACCCCGACGCGTGACAGACACGTGGATGAGCTGCTGTTGGTTGGGGGAGGGGAGGGAACTGTGTAGGGTGATGTTTCTAAAAAGAGCTAAGGCATCCACATGTCTAAATAGTTCATTGGCTTTCCTGAATTCAACCACATTCAAGGTCCCTCCTATAGTAACATCAGTCTTCCTTACCCGTATTTCAGTTTTCTAGAGTGAGTGAAATAGGTCGCCATACAGGTAACCAGGAAGTCATTGAAAAGAACCATTGTGAGAAGCTACCTGAAATATTGTGCCAGAAAGTTTTGATTGACTTCTCTGAACTTTCTGTCAAAATCTTAGTATGAGAGTGTGTTACACCTATAAACATGTCCTATGCCATGGTTGAAAAGAACTCTGGTCAATAGGAAAATGTGTTTTCCTTGATTTTACCACATCAGCAGTTCCTGAACTGAATGGCTTCATCCCTGAGGAGATTTCAAATGGGTTAAAGAGTGTAACACACTCAGAACAGTGCCTGATGCCACATGCATTCGTTGTTGCTGTCATGTCCTGAATGAGACGAGGCTCCAAGTTTGGAAGATGCTGATTAAGACTTGTTTCTTCAAGATTTGCTGTGATGAGAAAGGAATACCTTTGCACTCTCTAATCTCTGTTTAAAATGCACTAAAAGGCAATAAAACAGAATCAGGAGGAAATTATTAACAAATGGTCTGCCCTTTTATCTGTTCTCTAAATTAGTCTGCCACTGATTCTGGTCTTTACTGCGTTTGCTTTCTTCTCAGATCACTTGCAACCACTCCTTCATACTCCTTCTTCTTAGTTCACTTCAACAAACATTTCTTAGTAACCTACTATATGCCAGAAATTGTGCTAAATAAGCTCAAACATATAAAGACTACTCGAACTTTCTTCTTCCACCCTCATGTAAAAATCTCATTCTGTTGCATTTTGTGTCATTCTGTGGTATACCCACTTCTCTTCTTTCTTTCATCCTCTTCTCCCTTCAAAGTAATCTATAAAACTCATAGCCGCTATCCACATTTAGTTAAGATTTGAATGTATAGTCTTTCTGCTATTCTCAGTGCTTCTCATTAGCTGGTGTGTCTTTAGTTCCCTATGGATGACTATTTATTTATTTGTTTGTTTATTTATTTATTTAGAGCATGAGCAGAGGAAGAGGGAGAGAGAGAATCTCAAGCAGACTCTGCACTGAGCGTGGAACCTGACCCAGGGCTTGATCCCATGACCCTGAGATCATGACCTGAGCTGAAATCAAGAGTCCAAACACACAGGGACTGAGCCACCCAGGTGCCCCTGGATGACCCATTTTTTTTAACGACCTAATATCTCAGTTCTTCCTTTACTTCCTCAATTCCAATAAGCTCGCTCTCCACCCATTCACCCCCACTTCAGTCACCAGCATCCATGACCACACCTTAGACCTTGTCATTATCAACTGTTCTACAATGGGAATTACCATTTCAAATACCCTACCTACCTCTGACCACCTCCTATCTTCTAGCTTCCTTACTCACACTCCACAGATATTTAGACCTTATTGAGGTTTGTGATCTTTGGACCTCTCCTCTTCCTCCCATCACTGCTTCCTGTCTGCTCTTCCACCCCGTCTGGCCCAAACCCATGGTTGCCTCGATGATACATTTCCAAGTAGTCCAAGTCCCCTTGTCTTCACGTCCTTCCAATATGTATGAAACAAAGAAATCCAACCAATCATTAAAACCTACATCCTCTTAGGGCCAAGGGCAGGGTACTGACCTCTGCTGGAGTTAATTCCATAAGCACAAAGATTGGGGCCACAATAGATTTGTGGTCTACAATCTCAAAATTAAAACTCATGTATGTCTGGGAATCCCTCTGTTTTTTCCTGTCAGTATTCCATTTCCCAGAGTTTCTATTGAAAGCTTTCTCTGTTCTTCTCAATTTCATACCATCTCTTCATTCCCAAATAGGACTTTGCCTCCTCTTTGCCCAAAGGGAATAGAAATGCTCAAGTGGGACTTCCCTCAGGTTCCTGTCTGTCTTCATCTGTGAAATCACTGTACCTACTCTCATGCTTTCTCTGCACCCCTCATGTGTTCCCCTCCTCTTATATAAAGCTAACCTTCTGATCTGTGCCCTGGATCCCAAGCATTCCCTCTCTGGGACCTTGTTCCATTGGTTACATTCTAGTGCAGTATATTGTGGCAGTCAAGCACAAGGGCTCTCACAGAGGACCACCTATCTTCATTTTTTTTAAAGATTTTATTTATTTGAGAGAGTGAGAGAGAAGGAACAAATGGAGTGGCAGAGGGAGAAGGAGAAGCAGACACCCCCCCCCCAACGTGGGGCTCGATCCTGGGACCCCAGGATCATGACCTGAGCCAGAGAACTGAGCTCCCCAGGTGCCCCAAGACTACTTATCTTCAAATCCCAGCTCTGCCCCTTACTCTTTATGGGAATCTTAGACATGTGATAGAATATATCTGTTCTTCAATTTCTCACATAAATAAGGAAAGATGATAACCTTCTTTCAAAGCCTGGTTCATATTTCTCACCCCCATTTCTCCTCCTTCACCTGGCTAATTCCTACATTATCCTCAGAACCTAGTAAAATGTCACCTCCTCCAGAAGCCTTTGTGAATCCTATCTGCTGCCTCTCTGTGTGATCTGGAGCAAGTCGAATACCTACCCCATGCCTCCACTTCCTCATCTGTAAACTGGGTATAGGTGTAACAACATCCACCTCACAGGTTCATTGTCAGGATTTTCTGAAATAGTGGTAATTAAATATTTCTCACTGTGTCTCCTGTTGTTCTTGTTCACATTACTCTTCCTCTTATCCTAAGATTTCTCTTCATGTGTATTTCAACCAAAGGATAAAATCAGCAGGGAGAAGGCCCCACATAGACCGTGGCTGTCAAGATTGCCCCATGCAGGAAGGAACTTTCTATTGATGCTGCCTAGCTCGTCGTTTTTGAAGGGACCAATGTGTGCAATCTTCCTTTGGGCTCTGGCTCCACACCTACTAAGAGGTGTAGAAGAAGATATGAATTTGGTTGAGCAAGAACAAAATTTGAGGATGCTTCGTGGCATTTAATTACTTCGGTGCATGTCAGAACTTGCATGGTCATGAGGTAGAGAAGAGAGCTAATACCGTGAGAAAATCTAGTAGACAAATATTTTATTTTGTTCATCAGTGAAAAATAACGTAGTTAAGTTTCTCTGACCATTTACGGAGAGTCCTCTTTTCAGTAGCTCAGAAGCAGGTGACTTCAGAAATAAGTAGAGTCTACAACTGCCTGCCATAATCTCACGGAGGTTCCTACAATTTTCCCTTCACTGTATCTAAAATGTTATTGTTGGAGCTTGGTTTTGATCCTTATTAAACATAAATGTCCACTGGGAAGTAAACACTTCAAGCTGTGATTGGTCATTTGTACCTTAAGATTAATGAATGTCAGAGTCTGTCCTGAGAATGTTTTGATAAGTCAGGCAGAGAATAGGAAGCACCAGGTCACCAAATTCCTGAAACTGTGAAGACGGAAAGCTACTGAAGGGGAGAGGGATTCTAACCTGGGAGACAGAGCGCGGTGAACATTCACAGCACACGCTTCATCTCTGTACCAAGCAGCAGGCCTACTTTGAGGAAACAGATTCAACATTTTTTAACAAATGTGCCATGCTTAATCTCAGCCTGAAGGTGCCACATTTTGAGAGTAAAAGTTCCTGAGGCATTTTGAGGCACTGGAGAAAGAAAAAAAAATTGATAGAGATTTTCCCATTTTAAAAATAGGTTATATCTTTAATGGGCTGCAATTGACTAATATTTTGCACAGTATTTGTATCTGGGCAGATTGTTTATCCATTTAGATTGTAAACCTTACAGTGAAAATCTCAGCAATATTTTTCTGCTAAAGTTTATCAGGTGAAGGCATTATCTATGTGAGCTCAAGACTCATGACACTACGAAATAAAGTTCCTGCCAAATCAGAGTAAAAACATTCCTGACGTTTAGAATTTTTTTTTTTTTTTGCCACCTTGGTAATACATATCTAGATCATTCATCAGTCTGAATATTATTCCACACAGAATTCTTCTCCTAAAATACTTAAGTGGCCCCCACACAAAGTGGCATGTTTGGTGGGAGGAAGGGCAAATTTAAAGTTAAATGGTTTGTATCCATCCTCCCCCTGCCCCCCACCTCTGGAGTGGGTTTAATGGAATCTGACTGTGCTTCACTTTTCTTTCTATGAAACAACTATACTACCTACCCATGGGCACCGTGAGGCATTGTGTTGTAAAGATTAACTGAGACCATGCTTGTGTCTGTGCTTTGTAAACTCTGTACCCTGGATTTTTATTTTGCTGAATGTTTTATATATTATGTGGAGACACATAAAAAAATCATAGGTCTCAGGCATCTGGGTGACTCAGTCAGTTAAGCATCTGACTCTTGATCTCAGCTCAAGTCTTGAGCTCAGGGTTGTGAGTTCAAGCCCCAAGGTGGGCTCCACGCTGGGCATAGAACCTAGTTAAAAAAAAAAAAAGGTAATAAAAAAATCATAAGTCTCTATGTACAGGTATAACATTTGGCCGCCAAATTCTCCATGTGAAAAGATATAAATCAGTAGATATAAAAAAAAAAAGAAAAGAAAAATGGTTACAAAATTTTTCATATTTAAAACATGGTCATTTAATAATTCTCTATACACATATAAAATATGCATAAAACC